TTGAGAGCCTGAGAAGAAGGAGTGATCCGGAAGAATCGACAAACAGCAGAAATTTCAGCATCACCTCGAAGTTCATCGACGGGGTAAAAAGTGACGACTTGAGAAAGATGTTGGCAATACACTTTCAAAAGATAATGCACCAACCCCGGAAGAGATGAGACAGAAGTCAAGGGAGTACATGTTGATGAAACCGAAGAAGTACTTGTACTCAGAGGGCAGGAATATGCAAGAGAGGCTAAAAATTAAGATCGTCATGGTACAAGCCGAGAAATGATATGGATAAACGCAGGTCATGAGCAAACTGAGGATCAGCGGATCATCACGTGGCGGATTGCACGACATACAAACAAGGCATGAAAATTCTGGAATACGCTCCGGATGAAGAAGACATGAGCCAAACGGAGAAACACGAGTTCTATAGTGACTCAATCATCAAGATAGGTGCAAGGTGCTTCTCCTGTAAACAAGAGGACAATTTCAGGATGGACTGTCCGTTATTTTGGGAGGCTGTGAAAAATCAAAATCACCCCAAACACAAATTAGCCCAGGCTGCGGTACAGAATACGAGGAACAGACAGCCGAAATCAATTTGAAGAGCACGGATGTAGGAAGTGGAGAATTACCAACAAAGACGGTGAAACCAGTAACGCAAGTCGAGAATGCCATGGAGTCCGAGACTGGGAATTCACTGGAGATAAACTACGAGAAAGCTGCTACAGAAGCCATCAACAAAGTGAAGCAAGAGATGGCTACAAAATAGATCGAGCAACGATTGAGGCAGGAGATAGAAAGGCAGAAATTGAATGAGACACTGTTCAGAACACTCCCGGTGCCAGAGGCCACGGAGAGTGCAACAAACGGTGGTAATTGCAACACTCTAAAGATGGTGACGGGAAAACCATTTGGCACAACGAAAATTGGAGTGAGAATAATGTCGATAATCACAGTGGGCGGTCACGAAGTAACAAGAAAACTGAGTGAACCGAGCGATCAGACGATAATGCACATCGATGTGTACGCAGATTACTTGAGTGCAGTAAGCCCGCAAACATCTTCTAGAGCCGTGAGAGCGCTCTTCAAAAGGGGTAGCAGCAAATCAATTCGCGTCGACAATAGGTACACGGAAGCATATGGTCCACATGAAAGGATGCTAAACATAGATGGAATAAACATCTACACGAAGACAATGATAACATGTGACGAAGAACTAGTGGGACAAATCTACGTGGCTAGAGAAGAACTGAAAGTGAGATCGATTGGACATTGTGCCATGTTGCAAGAAGATGCGATGCATATAGGGACGGAAGCGGACGTATCTGGGCATGTACTAGACATACGTGAAAAGAAGACTCAATTGCGTGGGTTATTGGATACAGGAGCAGTCTTGAGCGTCATACCAATCGAAACATGGAACAAGATGGGCTTCGACAAAGATGACTTGATAGATTCGAGAATACGGCTGTCAGCAGCAAACAAAGGAGCGCTGCGGGTACTAGGCAGAACACCAATAATAGCCCGAAACTTTGGGAAACGCAATTTGTGGATGAGCTTCCTCGTAGTGGAGAATCTAGATGAGTCTGACCAATTTTTTTTAGGCAGAGACTTCATCAGGAATCTCGATATAACAATTGATCTAAGCAATGCGATGTTCAGGATTCGGAACCCGGAAATGAAGTACGTATTTAAACCGGTAAATTTAATAATAGCGAATGAGAACAAAGCACCGGTATTCTTGAGTAGGAGGGTAAGACTGAAAGCGAACGAAGCGCCAATAGTAAGCTTGCGGATGAAAAATTATAATGAACTAAGCGACAACAAGCAAGTATGCGTAGTCCCAAATCCAAATAGTCAAAGTGCTGCTATTTTAGGAAGATCCTTCTAGATAACCAAGAGCGCCCTCTGTGTCAGTGTCAGTGTCTTGTTGAACACCCTTGATATACCTATCACGTTCCAGGGGGAAAGGAAGTTGGGATACGCTCTACCTGTGAAAATTCGATACGAAATGACTGAAAATGTAAAAGAAAATGAAGTTATTGATTGTCCTAATCATAGGGATAAGATTTGTATATTGAGAAGATTGAAGAAAATAAAATATTCATCAGGTCTTGTGAAATAGCTTAAGTCAGAGACAGAAGATGAATTTTCGAGCTGTTCGAATGTTCTGGAAGGACCCACACTAGAGGAATTGGAAAGGGATAAACCGGTTTTTACCAGAAATAGAGCACTTGAGGGGCAAGTTGACGGACAAACAGCGCGAAGCCATCAAGGACGTACTAGATCGTCACGAAGACGTTTTTTCAAAATATAAAGCAGACATCGGATGTTGTAACTTTGTTGAACACGAAATAGAGCTTGAAGACTCGGCGGTAACACACAGGGAGGGGGGAGGCGTATGACCCCTAACAAATCGGATGCATGTAGAAAAGAAATTGAAACCCTACTGGAGTATGATATGATAGAACAAACCAAATCACTGTGGGCGTGTGGAGTAGTGATGGCTAAGAAGAAAGGCGACCAACTAAGGTTTTGTTGTGACTTTCGATATCTGAACCCCGTCACGGTGAAGGATGCCTATCCCATACCTAGTATTGATCAGAGCCTCTCAAAATTAGGGGACGCAAAATTTTTTACAACTCTTGATTTAGGTTCGGCTTTTTGGCAGGTCCCACTGAGGAAGCAGGGCAGGCAGAAAACAGGGTTTGCTTGTGAGCTAGGGCTGTTTCAGTGGAAGGGGATGCCCTTTGGCCTTTGCAACGCCACGGCTACGTTTCAACGATTGCTGGCACACGCATTGACGAGTGTAACGAACAAATATAACAACCTGGTGATGTGCTACGTGAACGACGTGGTAATAGCGACACCTATATTAGAGGACCACATCGAGCGACTAGATGAGGTGTTCGCTTGTATGAAAAGAGCAGGACTAAAATGCAAGCCATTGAAGTGCGAGATACTCAAGGAATCAATTAAATACCTGGGGAGGAAGGTGGATAAACATGGCATCAGACCAGACCCAGACGCAGTAGAAGCTAAGCTGAATTGGAAATCGTCAAAAACGGAGCATCAACTGATGACCTTCTTGAGTTTTGCGAAATTTTACAGGGAATTCATTAAGGGCTATGCGGAAAAAGTGTACCCGATGCAACAACTCATGAGGCACAAAGGTAAGAAATTCATGTGGAACAACGCAGCGCAAGAGTTATTCCAGAGGATAAAGAAAGAGTTGTGTGAAGCACCTGTGCTAGGTATGCCGACAGATAAAGGGATGTACGTGCTGGATACGGATGCGTCGATGGTAGCGATCTCGGGCATACTCCATCAAGAGCAGGAAAGGAACGGGAAGACAGTCGTGAGACCGATAGCATGCGGGAGCAAATTCTTGAGTGATACAGAAATGAAGTACGGCGCGCCCAAGGCAGAAATGATTGCGGTTATCACCTTTGCTGAGAAAAACAGGGCGTACCTAGGTAGCGAGCCATTCAAGTTACGGGTCGACAAAAGAGCACTAAGCTGGTTGAAAACGTACTCAATGGATCAGAGCTACATTAGGAGATGGATAGTTCGCTTGGATGGCTACAATATGATCATTGAACACAGAACAAGGGACAAACATCAAAATGCCGATACCTTGAGTAAGAAGACGGAATTCTACGAAAGACAGGAACAAAGGGAGGCGGACAAGCCAGAAATCAAAGATGGCTTCTCTTTTATTGACAAAGAAACATACGACAGCCTTCCACTCACAAGATGGCTCGACAAGTCAGGTAAACCAATAGAAGATTATCCCGAATTGCCAGAAGAGCGGCCAGAGAGAACAATCTTGAAGAGAAACGGAGTGATGCCAATGAAAGTAATGCTCAAGTCAAAAATATTGAGGGAAACACTAAAAGCGAAAGATTACGATATCAGACAGGTAGAGGAGGGAAGTGCGAAGATAGGTGAGGACCTGAAGAGATTACTTGAGATTCTAGCAGAAGAAAGACCCATTTTCCAGACCAATGATAGAGACGAACCAGAAATCTCAATACTGAGAAGAGGTGAGGCAGCGTATGGCGAGGACTCGTTGAAAGAAAAGCAATTCGATGGCAACGATGTCATGCAGTCACTAGTAGAGAAGATCCCGGAAGAGATACTAAGGCGGAACATGGTTCGAAAGAATAAAGTGACATTTAACGAGGAGGCTGAACTTCTTGGATTGGGTCGAGAGTCTGGGGAGTAGGCCACATCGGAAGAAGATGATGAAGAAGAGAAATTGCCCGGGGAGTCCGATGAATGGGATGAAGACTCAGAGAAGAGCAGCAATGATCAGGATAGTCTATGCATGATATTGGCAGAAGAGAAAATGAGGCACCATGACAGGGAACAACAAACTGACCCTTCCTCATGAACATACAATCTGGATCAGCAAGAGGTGTGTGGAGGTGAAGAACTTCAGAAAATTGCAGTATCAAGGAAACCGTTCAGGGAGCTATCGTGCAATTCAATTGTCAGAACAAACCTGGTACCTGATGATGACAGGAAGATCTTAAGAAGAATAGTTTGCGTCAAACTGAAGGATGATATCTACAGTCCCGGAGAAATGAATGGTCAAATAATGGCATTGAAGGAACACGTCAAGGCGAGATACAGGATCTCAGATATGATACGAGCTCAGAAGAATGACAAGATGACGAGCAACCTCTCCGAGTGGATTCAAACAGGAGTCAAAGAGAAAGGGGATCTGTAGGAAGACAGTTACAAAACCTTGAGCCAGTTCTACAAGGAGAGAAAAGATTTACTCTATCACACAGCTGATGGTGTGGTAGCCTGCAGAAGAAAAGATGAGGAGAAGATTCTACACAGGCACAACCTCATTATACTACCACAGCTGTACCAGACAGAAGTGTTATTCAGATCGCACGACCAGATGGGACATCAGGGATAGACAAAGTACAACAAAGAACACTACACATGTTTGACTGGCCAGGGTTAAGAAAGGCTTGCGAGAGGTGGGTGAACGTATGCCTGGCGTGTTACAAGTGAAAGATCCAAGAAAAATGAAGTTCCCACTCAAGTCCGCGGAGAGCTCGGAGTTTAACGAAGTCGTGCAGATAAACAATCAGAAGATCTGCATGACAGACTTGGGATATAATCAAATACTGGTTAAAATAGATCACTTTACGAAGTTGGCAGAAGCGGAGGAGATTTGTGACCATTTGATAACAAATTGGATATCACGATATGGTTTTCCGATGACATTCCAGTCGGACAACGGGAAAGCCTTCGTTGGGGACTTTACAAAAGAGTTGATGAGGAGATCGCACATTGCTCAAGCCAACTCAATTACTTACCATCCCCTTTTTAACGGACTAGTTGAGAGACAAAACAGAACGCTGGTGAACATGCTCAGGGTGTATTGCTCGAGATATATGACAGACTGGGATAAATATCTGCCGCAAGTGGTAGGGGCGTATAACAGCACGCAACTTTCGACAACAGGAATTAGTCGCTTCATGATGTTGACAAGCAGGGAAAGAGCGATACACAAACGAGGCAGCGGAAGAAGTATGAGAAGATAATTCAAGCGAAACCGTATGCAGTGGGACAAAATGTCTTGGTCTTCCAGAATATCATACCTCCGAAGGTGACGAAAAAGCTACTAAAGAATTGGCGAAGACCGTTCAAGATAACGGAGGTACATCAGCAGGGACGGTTCTACCGCTTGAGTACAGGGCGTGCAGCGCACTATGAAAATCTGAAACCTCATGTCCCATCTCCGGAAGACTGGTGTGTAACGCAGAACATGGAAGGACTTGAGTACCTATTGGTAGAACCAGCATGCGAAGTGAACGAGAAAGGCACCAGAGAGAAGAATGATGGCACCGAGGACGTGAGCATGGATGATAATAAATAGATGCAGAATCGGAGAGGGAATCTTTGCGGAAGAAGATTGGAATGATCCAGAGCAAAATGATGTGCCGAAATGGACGGAACCAGACTTGCCGAGGACAGCAGAAACAAGGACTGGCAATCGTAAGCGGACAGGCATGAGATACAACAGGTACGGGGATGACTTCTTGATTGACAAAATACAACCTGATGAGATAGGCGAAAAGTTAGTGAGTGCGGGCGAACTGGTGGCCGATGATGAATGGCAGGTCATCAACAACAGCGAGCACTACTTACAGAAGGATTACTCGATTCCAGAATGAGAAACAGATCTGGAGCAGAGCGAGATAGAAAAGAGGTAAAACACAAACTCGAGGATACTGGAATGGATCGTGATCTCAAGGACAAGGGAGAGGAAGAGCAAAGTATCCAGCAGGTCGACGTGTCAGCGGAAAAACATGTTAAAACGAAGGACCCGCTCTTTGGTTGGACAGCAACCGACCGGCCACTCGAGGTACCACCAGACAATTTAGACTCGGCATCATCGAGTGGACGTCGATAAATATTTTTGTCCGGAAGTGGGGGTTACACACAGCGGAAATTTGATGATAAAGAAGCTCAGGGAAGTGCGAGAGACCAGCGGGATGGAATTGGATCGGGAGGAAGCTGAGCCTAGCATAGGTCGAAATTTCAAGACACAATTTGAAATACCCAATGAATATTCAGAGAATATCCTGATCACGGACAGCGATTTCATCTTGTCAAACAGGGTAGCGCGATCTGCATAACGGCAAACATGAGCTTCGAAACGAGACTAGAGGCCGACTTTAAGAGAAAATATCAGAACGTGAGTGACTTCATTGTCGAAAGAGGGATCATGGAGGTCTCGATGCCGGTCTATGACCCAAACAGGGGCAAGTTGAACCCTAGGGAATTATATGCCATCCTACACGTGGTCTTTGCAGAAACGGAGATAACGGTACACCTACAAAAGAGACACTTATTGAGTATCGCCTGCGTTTCGAGCGGATAGGGAGGTCTCGAGTTGTGTAAAAGGGGGGCACGAGTTAAGTACAAGGGAGCGCGAGTCAGTTAGACGGATTTTAATGTAATTGGCATGACATTAAATCTTAGAGAACTAATGGTGCTAAAACATGGAATTAATCTGCATGCTCTTAAAATCACTAATTGGATTTTTTTAACAAGTAATTGGTGGGATAATGTTTTAAAAATAATAATGGGGAGGCTTAGGCTAGGCACAGAACATCTCGGTCTAAAGACTGGGTTTTATTTTCAGATTGATTTGCAAAATTGAGTTGACGACCTAGCCACACTCATTTAAAAAGAAGAAAAAAGATCTTGAGCAAGTTCACAATCAGCAGCATTGAGGGGTAACATTTCTCAAGTTTAACTGGTAAGGTATTTCTCAAGTTGGTTGACACGTGAGATCATCTGAAGATAGTGACGATGGCGGAAATCTATGCCCGCAGCACTAAAGAGACCTACGCTTGATGAACTATACAAACGCTTTAGCGACCTTGACTATACCCAGGTCGATTAGAGGTTGGCGGTGATGTTGAACGCCATCCTACAGTTAGAGGCGCAGGGTGAATGCAGGGAATCAGCGACAGAAGCTGTCTTGATAGTTGGCTACACTTCGGAGGGGATATCCAATCAAAAGCAGACCCGATGGCTATCCTGGAACAAGGATGGAGGCGTGAGGGGATTTGATTTGGCAAGAAATCCCGGCTTGAGCAACAACACGGAATATGACACCAGCAAGCCATTGTCGATGATACGGTCTCAACAGACAAAGGAAGCGTACCCGGACCTTAGTAGCTTGAAAAGAGAACTGGAGAGGCACAGAGGGAACGCGACAAGGCGAACCTTGACAGGGATGGTTCGAAGCTCGAGAGGGACCAGGCTAACCTGGAAAGAGATCAAGCGATCCTCGAGAGGGATCAGGCGAGGCACGATCTCAACATGATCAATGCGGAATATCAGCAGGAGCAGAGGGTCCGCGAGAACGAAGCAAACTCTGAGCAGCTGAAATCGGAAATGGAGAAGATTCAGAGGAGACAACGAGAGCTCGCGAGGCAGAAAGAGAAGAGGACTAGGACGAGGACGACGGAACCAACCGCCACAGGATCGAGACCAGAGTCGCGAATGGAGGTGGATGAGGTTGCTCGGTCCAGTGGCCGATTCAATTTAGACCGAGCAGCCCTGGAGCACACGAATGAGGGACTGGAGGTGTGGAAACGACCCGAGCCGGTGCCCTCTGTACACAGTCTGGATACACAACCAATACGGCCATTGATGGAAGTCACGCTCGCGGGATTTACTCCTAGTTCAACCACAAGCAGTAGCCAAATAGGGTCGAGTTCGTCACGTCTCAAGGAGCTACACGATAGGTTGCAGTCGAGAACCCGTGACGATTCGATGAGGGAAGAGCGACCTCTCACTTGGAGGGACCATCCGGTCAGGAGTGTGATAATCGCGAGCTACAAGAAGAATACGGATGGCGCATATCACAAGCACAAACAAATGGATTGGACTACAGCACAACGGGCGAGGAGGGACTGCTTCCATGACGCGGCCTGGGCTGAGTACTTCACTCAGCCGAGAATACCGGAGGGTGCGGTTCACCTGATCATAGGTTACAGCTTGATACGGGTACTGACGCGAATCCAGTCACACTGGCAGGTTGGAGTCTTGAGTTTTTCTGGAGCTGCGACGCCGCAGATGTTGGCATCCCTGGAGATGTTGGACATGGTGAAGATGTATCCCGTCACTTTGATGATGGGGACCAATGAATTGTCCAGGGGAGAGTCAAGAAAGGTGATAAGGTTGCACGAGAAAAAGAGTTGCATTCTTGAGGAGCTGAGAATTTACCTAGACCCCGCGATACTCACCATCTGTACTGTTCCGTACAACATGAAGTTTGACCAACACGCGCGATAGATGAATGGGAAGACGCGCAATATCAACGAAGTAATCAGACAGATTAAGCAAAAAAGCGTACTCCCCGTGAGATTACTAGATGTGGCCGAACTGATGGAGCGCTCCCTTCCGGACGATGCGTCCTCGGACGGCATCCACTTTGATAGGCCCAAGGGCACTGAGTGGCTGAATGGTGTCTTCCAGAGGCACATAAACTTGCTAGAGTTGGACCTGCTGGAAACGGCCCAGCTTACCTTTGGTCTACCCCCGATACCTCCTTTCTTTGCCCCTAGACCCCTATCCAGCCGTCTAGGAGCGAGAGTCGACTCGAGAGACAGCTCAAGGAGCAGCCAGACCAGACAACCGGGATCCACGCCGGTGGAAGCTGAAGAGGCGGAATCATCCACGCCCCAAAGTTCGTTGGTGTCTTGGGTGGTGGTGGTGGACAACAAGAGGGTGGAGAAACCGGCAGGGGCGAGCAAAACCCGATATCTGGAGAGGGTAAAAGAGTTGGATCTGGAGGATTTGGAATGCAGGCAGAGATTGGCAAGGACAATGGAGACAGCGGACTTGACTGGGATCCCGCTGAAAACGATAATGGGACCAATCAACTATAGCCGACTTAAGCAATTGGGGAGTCCAGGACTCGTAGTGGAACCTCCCAAACATCGAACAAGCATCGATCAGGGTGACAACTCCCGCACAGTTGAGAGTGTTGGAGAAGTTGCTTGAGCCGAAACACATCCTGATGCCGCATACGAGGGTTCAAAGCTAGCTGATGATCCGAGATATGGTAAACCCTGCGGAAGCTCACAGTTGGCCAAGACGTTGGCAGTATATGATCGATCGGATCCAGGAGCTGCAAGAGTAATCATCGTAGCGGGCTCAGATTTCTGCTGCCCGGTGCAGAAATGAATCAGATGCTGACCCTGGTGGTGGCAATCAAGTCGGAGATGCCTTGCGAGCCGGAACTGCTACTGTTTCCAGGAATGAACGACCACTTGCATGCGGCAGGGCTTCTGGAGCACCTGAAGGGCGAGGCACCAACGCCCAAGAAGATCTGGGAAGCGATCGAGACATTGTTTGCCGCAATGAATGAGGTACAGGAGTCGGTGGTTTCTTGATTCGGACCCAGGGCAAGAGTGGCATTCACGACGTCACCGGATTACGCGAGTATGCCGCCTGCTTTGCAGTTTGTGTATGCTATATTGATCTTGATAGCGGAAGGTAACGCGTGGCGGGTACTGATGGCAGCCCCCAATCGCGGGCTGGAGCCGACGAACTTGAGACTTCTTAAGTCGGAGCTGGCAGCGGCCTGGGCGGATGTGTCTCATGCCTTAAGAGGATTCTACAAATTGGCGGACGTTCTCATCGCATTGGATGAGATTCTCTTACTTGAAATTTCGAATCTCGCTCGGCAATTGAAATTTAGTCCGGGGATAAGGGACACTCACCCGATATTAAGCCAATTGACAGCCAGCCTGTGGTTTCGAAGCATGGATCTGATGAGCACGAGTTCCACCAGCAAGGCGAGGGGACCAAGCAATGAAAGAAAGAACGTGACCGCGGCCGAAAAACAGTTGGAATCGATGGCATACCGTCTAACGCAAGAGAGAAGCAGGTGGCCGTTTCTGACCCCAAGGCTCGAGAATGCCACGAACAAGACGCGGGAGAATGCCCACCTATCGTCAAGCAGATATGGGAGTTTCTTGAGGGGCAGCTAGAAGTGGCAGAGAGCAGAGATATGACG